ATATTCTGCTTGATGAGGCCAGCTGAGAGTCTGTTACTGGAGAAATAACCTGCTAATACAGAGTTGCTCAGCCTCCTAAATAGATGGGATTCGCTGAGTTTCTTCTTAAAATGTGGTGAACTATGAATAAATGAGTGGGTTACCGAAAGAGATGTCAGGTATGGACCATCCATAACTTTACCAGAAACTGCTGTCATTGACCAAGCTGCTGTTTGAGAAAAGACAATTTAAAATAATAGAATGGGAGAGGAGTAACGCAGCTTTGAAATATTATAAAAAATGTCCTTCTCTCTCTTAAGCTTCTTCAGAAAACAATAAGCTCTGCAAGGTATATACCATCAGCCTTCCAATATACTTGCCAAAAGTAGCCTTTTTTTCCATTACGAGTGAACAAACTCAACTTCTTGAATTCACAAAGGGATATTCTGTACTGCTTTAATGCTGCCTTTTGTTGTCACAAGATATCTGCAGACGATTCATCTGTGGAAAGTATCACAGGAGAGCTCAACCCTTAAACACTGGGACCTCCACACAACAGCAATGCAAACCAATTAGGAGGAGGAATCTGGCATATTCCCTTCCCTCACTTTGGAGTGTTGAGGCCAATTGAAGTATTCCTAAAGCTGCCACAGCTGAGATCAGCTATGTCAGGGAAAAACCGAGAATCTTTGGTGCTTTATGATTCAATTTCACCTGAGGCAGTTGCTTTACATCTGAGCCATCAAATACCAGACATTTTATTGAATAAATATATGATGTGAAAGTCTGTGCAGGGNAAAAAAATGCAGAATAAAATAGCGCAAGGCAAAGTCATTTGCAAAAAAACTGAATGACTGACAGTGTGAGTTTTCAATGATTATGAATCATAACTTAGCTCTGGCTGATCTGACATGACTTCACTCATTGTGGAGTTTCCTGTTGCCTTCTAAAGACCAATATTTGAAGAAGGAACAAAGATGCTTGAAGCATGTTTGGCTGATTGAAAAGTAGGTCACTCTGTCCATTTACATTGTTGTGAGACCTATAAATCATCAATGGGTTCTCGCTTCAAAACCAGTCGGCGGCCACTAACTATTCAGGTGACAAAATGTAATGTGCTAAACCAACAATTTGTGTTTTCCTGGGGATTAGTTATTCTCTAACGCTACAAATAAGAATCACAGAAGTAGTTGTATTTTCAAGTCCACGTAGTATTTTGCTAATTAAGTTTTTGTGAACCATTAAAATATTTTATTACAGTATTTTACTCCAATTGTTCTAGGCATCAATTAGGTTTCAATTTGTTGTGTTTCAGTATTGACCTTGCAAAGTAACTCTCTGCTTCCACAAAAGAAAGGGATATTGCCCTCCGCCAAACAGCTTCCTGGTAACATTTTCTGCTTACAATATTTCCCGTGCCTTTCATTTTGTTTAATAAGTGCACTGAAAAATAAGACTTTATCTGCACTTAAAACAGGTTGATCAAATAATTGCCTTTAAATGGGAATGTTAATCTGCATCTGTTTGTTCATTATATTACTGGGTAAAGAATTACTTGAAGCTTTCAGTATTTATTGATAGTTTTCTGTAAATTTAATTAGTTGATTTTTTTAAGGATGCTTTTTCTGTTTGTCATTTTCCCTCACTAGTCCTGATCCAAACTCTCCACATTACTCCCTCCCCCCCTTACCCCATACCTTGTCTAACTGTTACTTGTAATGCGTTATAGTATGTGTGGAGCTGGAGGTACCCCATGGAGGTAAAATGTGGTCAAGCCCGATTCTGTCCTCATCCGACATACACACATGAACCTCCAACAGGCAAAACTGAGCAAGAGATGGAAAGTTTGGCTGATATTTCCTCCTAACCTAGATGCTGAAACCTTATTGTACAAGTGCTAATGCCAGTTACCCAGAGATAACTTAGCCCAGATCAGGAACCAAACCAGAATAAGAATAATGAGCAAGTGGATTATTTTGAAGTGGGAAATGAATGGAACCAAAAGTACATTGTTCCATCATCAATAATAATAATGCCCCTTACATTTGATTATAGTGATTTTCACATCAGGAGGACGTCTTAAAGCATTTCACAGGTTATGCTATAAAGAGTAGTGACTGTATCTTTTGTACATGGAAATCAGAAGAGATAAAAAGTAAACATCTGTTTTTATCCACTATTGGGGGATTTTTGAGCTAATGGAGTCTTCCACAGCTTATGCTCAGATAGAAATTATTATCTTACTCAAAAGAAAACTAAACATAATGTACTAAGTTAGAATTATAACACAGGTGTTCACTGATAGAAACCTTTTGCTGAAGATACATTTTAAACTGTAAACCCGCTACAATCTCTAGCAGACTATTTAATAATATAAAGCGCACACTCACACAAGTATAAGTAAATGCAGTGTTAGGATGATTTCTCCAGACCTACCTTCCTTAAACATTTGATGTCGCTGCTTATGTGTTTGAGGCTGAAGAGGAGCAGAATTTCATTTAGGTCAGTGATTTTAAAAGTAATAATGGACAGTGCATCTCAGTTATATGAGCATGTCAGTCTGCCAGCAGCTTCAGCAGAAAGTTAAGAGCTTAACACAATGTCATCTAAAGGAGAACAAAGGTTGGAGCCAGTTAGAAAAATGAACTATCACACTTAATTTGTCTGCAGCTATATTTCTGCCAGTAACACATTTCTGCTTCAGATCTACAATTGAGCGCAAAACATTGTATAACAAATTAGGGCAACGATATCAAAGGAGATTTTATATATAATACTATTATACAGTAACATTTCCAATATTAATATTGTGACAACAATCAATTCTTAGTTACGTAGTACTGTACTACTGTATTGTATTTGGAGACTCATGTTATACTTTTCTTAAATGCATCTGTAGAAACTAGGAATTAGGAATATCACATTTAACTGTTGTTTAACTATACATTTTCTTGTTTGCAACAGAACTTTTTAAAATTTGAAGCATGATTTTTTTCTAGCTTTATCTAAAATAAATGCAGTAGATTCCCTCCCCCGCCATTATTTTTTTTGCTCCTTCCCACACCTCACTTTCCACTTTTGATGCTTGTAAGAACTGTACAGCCATGTTTCTCCAACTGTGTCGTTGTTCCTTCTCATTCTAAATGATAAAAAATACACGTGAGACCTTGAAAAATAATGTAGCTGAAGCTGGAATAATGAGGCAGATGTAATAGGAAAATGCTGGATGTAACTACTCTGAAGATTGCTCCTAGGATTTAAGTTGTGAGTCCAGTATTTAGTCACATAGCCCAATGGTATCTTTCTGTTTTATACTTTTGAGATGTAGATATCAATGTTCTTGGTAATAAACCATGTGGTTGAAGCAGGAAGGATGAATGTATTTGAGAGGAAACTTGATGCATGCCTAAGGGAGAAAGGAATCGAGGGTTTGAGAGCGTTATGGGGAAAGGGGATTAGGAGGGATGGAGACTCATGTGGCATAATAAACAGACTCATTGGGCCGAACGTTCTATTTCAATACTGCACAATCTATGTACTTTTATGTAAACTTACGGTTAGTGATTTTTCAGTCATGTTTGTGCTGCAAAATAAAATTATAGATAGAGGAGGAAGCAACTCTTTTAGCAACATCTCTGACACTTATCCTTTTGATAGGTTGATATTCAAATTCAACATCTAGACAAATATTTTGGCTGCAATTGTTTAATTAATGATAAATATTGTTAATTCATGAGAATATAAAGTGTGGGGAGTTGCAGAAATCTTTATAGAACATAAATGAAGATTCCTAGCCGACCGAATATCCCAACCCACAAATACACTGTTACATCTGAGAATCACTGTTAACAAACCAATTTTACTATACTGTCAGGGAAGTTATTGTTATAAATAAAGTCATGAAAAATGGAACACATTAGGAATTTTAGTGAATATGTGTATAAGATCCCTTGATATGGCATTACATGAAGATATGGAATCATTGCAAATTTATATTGCACATTGCATCTTGTTTTACTCTTGGAATATCATGAAGTCAACTCAGTTTCAAGGTCCTAAATAGACTGTGGCATCTTGGAAAAGAAATTCTTGCAAAACAATTTGTAAATCCAAATAATAGCTTGGAGTAAAAAATAACTTTTGTTATTATAGAGTCTAGACAGATACTCTGTTAAGATACCTTGCGTGAGAGGTGCTGTTGTTCTTTTAAGTAATTATTGACATTGACTTTTCTTTGAAGCTGGTGCAGTAGCCATTTACACACAGCAAAATTCTGTAAACTGTCACAAGGAGAATGATCAAATTATTAAGATTTTTGCCTTGGACTCAGAGAAACTCCCTTCTCTCTCTCTCCCTTTTCTTTTCAAACAATGTCATGGCTTATTTAATATCCACCTGAAGAATAGACAGATGGAAACCATGGTTTAACTTCTTATGCAAAGGAAATCACCTCCGAGCACTCTCAACACTGCACATGCCATCACAACCTACACTATGGGTGCAAGTCCCAATGTAAAACTTGACATTATTTAGGTCCAAAGGGCAGAGTACCACAAACTGAGTCGTACTAACAGTACAAAGACTTCATTAGAGCGCTTTGCTCTAAGTGGGTCAAATTAAATTCTAAATTTGAATACGAGGTTGTTGAACACTGCTGAGAAAGCCATGCATTTGAACAGATAGAGCAGAGCACACGTTTCCCCAGTGAAGGCCATCCTTAGTAGTAGTAATAATAAGAAAACTGATAATTATCCTTGCATTTGGTGTATCCTTGCATTTGATCTCAACCTTTTATTGAGATGTCTTAAAGCACATCACAAGATTTTACTGTAATGTAAATTATATTGACTGTGTATTTTGTAGGCAATTGCAGCAGCCAATTTGCACACAGCAATGTTCTACAACCAGCCATGAAGCAAATGACCCATTTTATGCGGGGAATTGTGGCCTGGACACCAGGAGAACACTCCTGTCTCTTTTTTGAATACAGTAAAACTCACATAAGTCATATCTGTTGGGACCATAACATTTAATATGATTCATGCAAAGTATGAGTTATGTCAAACTTACGTAAGTCGCATCATATATGATTTATGTAAAGTAATGTACAAGTCGGCTTTTATATGACTGACACATAACAAATACACAAGTACTGAACTGGCTGGTGACATTAAGGCAAGGTTTCTGTACTGTGTTTAACCCATGCATATAAAAGCTATGGTTGCCCATTTCTTTCCTTATACAATATTGCACAGTACTGTACCTCAGGTGCAAAAGCAAGTACTGTACAATGAATGGCACAACCAAACAGGTTTCAAAACAGAACTGTTGTAATAAAATCTAAACTTAATTTGTGTTTAGTTGGGATATCTGCATTGCCTGATGCCATGATACTGGTCAAAACTGCGTCTTCTGTACTTGTTCACTGTTTTGCACTGCGCATGCTGTCCTTTGGCTTTGCATTCGGTTAGTGCAGATACCTATGAGCAGCAAGTACTTAGGTTCTCACAATTGTTTCACACGGAGCTCTGCGTATGCTACTTCAAGGCCAGTAAACTGCACATGGAACGATGGGTCCCCTTCACTCTCCGCGTGATCAGGCATTCCCCACACCCTCGCTCACCATGTAATCAGGCGATGCTCTTTTCTCTCTCGGCACCGCCCCCCCACCGCCCCCGCGCTCCACTCCTCCTGGCTGTCATGCATGATGCTGTTGATGTTACATCCCTGGGACGGAGGGCACAGAGAACACTGGGGTACACATGTGCAGTGTTCCGTTTAAGGCAGAGGCGGTGAACAAAGTTTTGATCCGGCAGCTAATGAGTGGTGATAGTAGTGTTACGAGTTACTTGGTGGTTATTACAACGAGTGATTATAAATTTAAGTGAATTTAATAGGAAATTGAATGAGACTTGGGTGGATGTATGACTTAGGCGAATATACGATTTATGCGGATAAGACTTACGTGAGTTTTACTGTGGTTGTAGGTCAGTTTGAGACCTGTTTCCACCTACAAAAGTTCCTACTAGGACGACAAATAATATTCGGGTTAACAATATTTCTCTTTAGCCATCTCTTTACATTCTGTAAACTCAGACGAGGAGAATTACCATGAATACCAATTATAGAAGGTGAGAAGCCATCCCCATCAGTCTTGTGACAGCAATTCAGACACAAAAAAGCCACAATTATAATACCTGTTTTATGCCACAATAAGGTTATCTGAAAACACAGAACTAATGGAGTCAGAGTCACATTTAGCTCTCTTTGCCCTCAAGATCTTCTCAGTCACAATGTGGTGGTGAGGTTGAAATTTTATTTTCCCATTCTGTCCCTTCAGTGGCTCTTTGACGGGCTCCAAGAACACCACTCGCTTGCAAGTACTGGCTTTCCTTTCTGTGTTAACGTCGTGTGAGGGTGTCGTGCTCAGGATCGAGGAGCGAGCGCTGTTTCCAGGTGGCTTTCTGTGCCTTTGCTTTGACTTGCACCAGCAGCGGCATGGTGTCAAGTAGAGATAAATCAGGACCAAAATAATGCTGGCTAAACAGGCGGAGAGGGTAGTAAAGGCGGTGTTAAAGGTTTGTGAGCGATGCCTTTCTTGTGTGAAATTATGTACCTTCAGTGTCACCTCTATAGTTTCATTTAGCATTCTTCTGCTGTTGATAGCAATGCAGGAGTAGATCCCTTCATCCTCTGGTTGTACTTGTTGAATCTCAAGGCTTCCATTCAGGAATACCTGCAGACCCTGATACTGAATGCCTGACTGGAGCGATTCATTGGTGGGTGTGACCCAGAGGACATTTGTGTTCAAGTCCAGTATTTTACTGTCACAGTTTACCACTATCCTGTCCCCTATATGAGCCTCGTACATCAGCCCAAGCGCATGAAAAGAGCCATTGATAGTGCTATTTGAGCAATTCAAAAGGTCGTCTCGCATCAGTAGGAGACTAACTGTTCTCTTAGAGTCGAGCTGTAAATTACAGCTGTAATCATCTTTAAAATCCATCACAGAAGTAAACTGCCTTTTATACCAGTATGTGACCATTGTGTAGAAAGAACAATCGCAGGTAAATGGGTTTGCATGCAGGTACAATCCACTTTGCAGCCTGGCTGGCAGTGCACTTAATTGAAGAACTGGCACTGAAGTCAATTTATTGAAGGACAGATCCAACAGTTCAAGCAATGGGAGTTTGGACCTTCCCATGTACAGCTGCAATGGAAAGTGTGAGATCAGGTTCTGACTAAGGTACAGCTTTTGAAGTTTGTGCAGTCCTTCAAAAGCTCCGGTGCTAACCCGAGCAATCTGATTGTTGTAAAGAAGGAGGGTTTCCAGTGAATTTAAGTCTTCGAACAATGAGTCATCGAGTGCGGTCAGTCTGTTGGAGGACAGATCTAGATATTTCAGTTGTGGTGCGGAACAAAAGGCTCCTCTGGAAATAGCGTTTATGTTGTTGTGGTTGAGATTTAACGTTCGGAGTCTGTCTAAAGAGACCGGAGCCCAATTAGAAGTAAGTAGACTGATACTGTTATAGCTAACGTCCAAGCTGGTTGCAACTTTATGAAGTGTTCTTGGCACACTGTTCAGGTTCCTATTCGTGCACGTAACAATATCACTGGCGCATATGCAGACTGGAGGGCAGATTAAAGCAGCGTTGCCTGCCATACAAACACAAAGTAGCAGCAGCACAAATCTTTGGCATTTTAAAGTAAGAGCTCTGTCAACAGCGGAGTAGGCTTTGTGGTGGGAGCACGTCATGGCTGTCTCTCAGCCGACTTCCACTGATCCTTCCAGTAAGACGTGCATGGAGTCAGTTCCTCAGGGCTGAGTGTGACAGAGAGAAAAATAAACACCAAGTTTATCTGCTTTCCTGCTCCTAGGGTGCAATAAACTGGAACAGTCATATAAGGTAAATAGAGCATTTATTTCTCATGGGATTAACTGAACTAAAGCATTTTTTTTGCAGATTTGTCGAGTTACTTTCTAAATTATGATTTATTAATACTATAATTACAAATAATAGTTTTTGGATAGTTGTAATTTATCTTCCAAGTAAAACCTGACACTATAAACCAGGAACTGTTAGCCTTACATGTAAATTGCTGCTCATAGGTATCTATATTTTAGCTCAAGGAGTAACAACTTTTGACAGTCTAAGCAGATTTAAACCAGCTTCTAAAAGTGCTCAGTCAGAACACAATCAAATTGCACAATGTTGCTTAAATTCTTGGCCGTGACTAAAATAAGAGGGGAAAAAGAGTTTGTAAATAGTATTAAATCATCGAATAGACAGAAAGAAAGATTACCTTCAATTTGAGACGAGAAACGGTAGAAGGATCCAGCTATGGGTTGAATGCTGTTCACAGATGCTCAGTGCTTAAAGTAACAGCCACTGTCTCGGCGTCTATCAGCAGCTGATCGTTCATTCGTTTGTCCCTTCTTATTTCCTGAACTTTCAAAGTGCAGTGACAGAGTGGACTCTGATTGTCTGCAGTCCCTCTTGTATTCCATTTCACAACAGACTGCTGCATGTAACACTGGGAGACAAGTGTGGAGCTAGCGACTGACGACTGCCTATCATCAGTTACTGAGATTGGCTGAATACTCCAGGGTGGTAACCTGTCAAAGATTAAAGATGAAGAGAGGAGGGAAGAGGATGGTAGGCGGAGTTACATTGTCACATTGCATTCATTTGCAGAAAGTGCCAGAGCTTCACTCCTCATCTTTCTCATTTCATCCCCCATTTGCCCAGTTTTTCTGCTTGGGCTGCTTCCTTTTGACTGCATTGTGAGCTCTCCCATGCAGAAGAAATGCAGTCGCTGTGAGCAGGCTTCATGTTAGCCTTCCAGGGCACAGAGAACGCTCACACTACCAGCAGCAAGTGATCTGAGTGATCACAGGAGGTCCCTGTTTGTCAGGAACCAGAGTAAAGGATTAATTAACATGCTGCATGCCATCCCCTGGTCACAGCAACCAGCTCTGTTGCTAAGATGCTGAACTGTCATGTACGGGAAGTGTTAGGTTTCACTGATTGAAAAATATCTCACCGTGAGAAGCTCATATTTGCTCAGATTGACCTATTTTGCAAATAGTTGTCTGNAAAAATTAGAGAAAAATACATCAGATAATTTGCAAGTTGCAACCTGTAAACTTGTCGCTACTGTTAGTTTGCCTAATGCTTATACTGCAACTGGTAGTGTGGTTTAGAGAGTAATCACTGCTATAAAATGTGTATGAAATCAAAGTAGAATGGGCAATGCCATTTAATACCTGTCACTGTGTTAGTCATGCTGGGTTATAGCTGGTTTTGTTTGTATAAGCTTGGGTTCCCAGACAACTGTGTGAAGCGTTTTGAGATGACCTCCTGATATGAAAATCACTATATAAATTGCTAAAGCAATGTTTAAAAAATTCCTACGGGAATATCCCTTAGAGTGAGGGAGAAAGGAATAGAAGGTTATACTGATAGGTTTAGTTGAAGAAGGGCAGGCTTAGGTTCATGTGGAGCATAAACATTGGCATAGACCAGTTGGTCCAAATAGCTTTTTCCTGTGCTATATATTCTATATAATTCTATGAAATGATTAGCAAGATAAAGAAAACAGAATTTAAAATGGCAACGATTTTCTAATGAAAATAACAAGAAGATTCATCAACATTCAGACACTGTGGTCAATGCTTTTTTCCCCTGCCAAGTAAAAGAAATTGTTTAAAATATGATTAATAATTATTTGAATATAATACTGCAGATGTTGCATCACTATCTCCAGCTTTACTAAATGGTGATTGCAAGAAATCTGGTTTTGCTTTTAGCAAGAATGAAACATTTCACGCAGTGCCAATACACCTGCATACTTGACATCTGAGCTCAGGATTTCAACGTCAGCAAATGCAGCTGCAGAGTTTGAAGTAACAAAAAGGCACATTTAGAAAAAAACATTTTTTGGATAAAATGTGGAAGTCCTGATGGACTCAATAGTGGATGATAAAATAATTTGATTTTGATTTTGATCGCTAGGTGCCTGACACACGTGGAAATCTGTGCTTAAGAGTATCCGAACCAGACAATGTTGCACATATTCCTAGGAGCACTGGGGTCCTGAAACAAGCAAATGAGATGTTGAGTATAGCAATATGTGGTGGATAATAATAATAATAATCCTTGCATCTGATATAGCACCTTATCATGTATTTGAGATGTCTCAAAGTGCTTCACAGAATATACTGTAAAGTGAATCGACTGTATATTTTGTGGGTGAAAATATGGCATCAGTGTTGACTCTGACAGTGTTGACTCTGACTTTGACACTCTGCAGAACAAATGACAAGGCTTATTTGTCCAGTTCCCATTTGAAAACCAAAATGAATTCTGCCTCCACCACCTTTCCTGCCAGGGCACAAAAATAATCTCCTAGCACCCTCATTTGCTCATTTATTACCTATCTTAAATTGACTCATTGACCAACTTGATGAACTCATGTTTTTATTTGTCACATTAAAGTAACACTGCATGACTTTGAAATCTGTGCATTATATGCATCCATTTGTTAAAGCTGGGTACATAGTGAATAGGGAGCAGTGTATCCTCTGCATGATTTATTTTGTATTACTTTGAACAGTTTGAAAAATTTCTAGTAGGTTGCATTTTAATGAAATAATGTTGTTGATGGAGAGTCCCAAGCTTTTTAAAATGTGTTTTATTATTTATTGTGATTAGTACCAAATCACGAGCTCGATGAGGCAGCTGGCTGTATGTTTCCATAGCAATTATCACCATTAGACCTCATGGTCAAATAAACTAATCCTATCCGCTTTTGATATCCATGGACCAAACTAAACAACACAAAAGTAAAGGAAATGTTCTGTTTAACTACCAGACCAAGACAGAACAGAATAAATTGTCAATAAATCACAGTGATACTGCAAAAACATTCAAGTAATTCCTGTTAACCCAAGCAGCCTATATTCATACAATATGGAATAGATTTTCTTTTTGTTTCCTAATATTCCACAGTAAGATGATGAATTATTCTGATATATAGTTTCACAGGTACTAGGAACTGTTTAGTCCATGTGTGTGTGTGTTTGTGGGGGCGGTGAAAAGGAAACTCATTAACAGGAACTTGCAAATAGTGCCCCCTGTTGGTAGCAGTTAGATATGCATGATGCCACCAAGGAAAATCTACTCTGTAGATCAAAAGATCACACAAGAGAGTTTTGAATGAAGAAAACCTTTTCAGCCCATTTGATTTCATCCTTCCAGAATAGCCAGCTGATCATCTCCCATTATAGTATCAATCACTTTCTTAAATTAGCTCAATGTCTTGGCCTTGATGATCCTTTTTGTTAACCCATTTCATTTGAATAATTTGGCTCTGGGAAAAGATGCACCTTGAAATTACCCCCCTCCCACACAACCTGTGTCCTCCTGTTCTGCTGCCACGGAGTAAATATTAGTCATAATACCTATCGCTGGGAGTTCCCAAGTGGGAGTCAAGACAATGAGTGTTGTTGGGCCCTTCAGTCATGGAGAACATTACAGCTGAGTGGAATGTTGTCTTCACTTAAAGTGCACATGTGTAGACTTTTCAAAAAGGAGTTACTGGATAGCAGTGGTTGGCTGACATCCCCTCCGTAATGCACAGGCCCACCATTGCCACAACTAAAATCAACTAAGTTAGGACAGATAAGGTAACACAATTGAGGATCTCTGGCCAATTTGATTAAATATTGCACAAGGAAATGAATGTATCTACTGAGTCGCCAAGGGAGAAACACATTGCAGCTTTTTATGGATAGCAATAATTTTTCCAACTGTATTCCAGAATTGTTTAATTATTTAGTGGCTGCTAAAATATTACAGATATTTGGAAAATATGTTATTTACAAAAAATAGATTATGAAAAGCTTCATTAAAAAAAGTTTTACAATGCATCTGGTTAACACCAACAAATATATTGGAAAAATTTTTACTGTAAGAGTGTAGTAACTAATTGTAACTAATTCCATTTTCTAGTTAGTCATAGGTTAGGTTTGTACTTTATCATTAATGCAACATCGATTTTGTTCACTAAAATATTTCAGCCTCTGAGCTCAAAGGCTCTAATACTGAATGATTTATGGGTGTCCAGTCACTTGAGATAGGAATATATGGAGTAAAGGCAAGCTATTTTGATGAGAAAGGTTTACTCAATTTATGAATCAGAATCATAGAAAAAGTTATAAAATATACTTTTGAACAGTACAGTGCTCAAATAAAATGACACTAATCTGTTTCAACATAATTTTTTTTCTAAGAGGAAAAAAGTCAAATAATTATTGAATCCTTCTTTAATAAATAATCCTTGTATTTAATAGAATGCCTTCCACATAGGGAGAACATGAGTAGAATTGAGTATTTAAAGCAAGTTCAAGCTACACAAATTGTTCCTGTTGAATCATTTCTACAAAAAATATTGTCTGCAGTTTTTTAACAGTAAATATTGTAAAGTATATACAGTATTGAGAAATATTGAGATCCATAGAAGGCTGGATTGAGATTAAAAAAAGGACCATTCAACTCATCTAGCTCATGTTCTGTGTATTTCAATGCTCAGGACCTGCAAAACAACAACAATATGCATTTATACAGTGCCCTTCATGCAGGATAATGTCTCGGAGTGCTTAACAATGGTGAGTTTGACACAGAGCTGAGGAGGAGGTACCCTTAGGAATAGTCAAAGAGGTCTTGAGGTGTGATTTTCTGATGGGAAAGGAGGAGGCAAGGTGGAAGGATTGAGGCAGAGTTCCGGCTGAAAGCACTGTCACTGATGGTGCAGCAGAGGGGATAAGGGATGTGCAGGAGGACGGAGCCAGCTGTGTCGAGGCAGAGGGTAGTGGAGTGGGGTTTAAGCAGGTCAGAGAGGTAGGGAGTGAGGTGCCAGGGTTGAAGTGATTTGTATATGAGTTTGAGGATCTTGAAATTGATCTCTTCTGTAATAAGGAACCTTATTATTCTGTAATAAGGTGACTGGCAAGGACTGGGGTGATGGAATCTGGTGCAAGTGAGGATATGGGTGATGGAGTTTTGAATTAATTTGATTTTATGAATGGTGGAGCTAAGAAGACCAGCAAGGAGGTCATTGGAACAATTAAGACGGGAGATGGCAAAAAATTCTTGGCTGTTCACTGTAAAGTCTATTAACTTCCTTTTTAAATACTTCAACCAAATCTACATTCACCAAGTGAACTTAATGACAAAATAGTTCAACATTTAGTACTGATAAAAATGATTTGTATTGAAAAGATATCAGTTTAAATAAATGTATCAAAAGCAAAGTATTAATTTCCAGCCATTTCAAGTTATGCAAAATGGATCATTTAAAATAATCTTTTAAGAGATAATAGAAATAGTGGATAATGGTGATGTGGTGGATAGCAATCTTGCCTTCCAAAGGCCATTTCATTCGGCATTTCACAAAGATTTGTGGTTGAGGTAAAAGCTCTGGCGATAAAGAGAGACTTTGTGGATCAGATTTGGGAAA